CTCTCTCTCTCTCTCTCTCTCTCTCTCTCTCTCTCTCTCTCTCTCTCTCTCTCTCTCTCTCTCTCTCTCTCTCTCTTTCTCTCTCTCTCTCTCGGTCTCCTTCTTCATAGTGGTCTTTTGTGCAGGTGCGCGGCGGCTTCTCCAACCTCCAGGTCTGCTATGGCGGACTTCTTCTTCTTGCGGCCACCTCAGCTATGGCGCATCAGGCCCTGCACACGACGGCGCGCATGGAATAGCAGGTACCAGCTCCGATACCAATGCAATCAGACTCATTTTCATTCACACTCACATGCATGCAACAGGCGCACAGCAAACTGGCGACAAGCGCCCACACAGAACTCAGAGATATGGCAACTCAGGTAAGACTTCGTTTCCAATGGCTATGGCGGCTTAGCGGCCAAACAACTCTCGCGGATGCTCCGAGTAGGAGATCAGACTACTTCGGAGCAATAGTTCACTATCTGGATATAGGGAGAGACCTGCAAGAGAAAGTTAGACAGGCATATGTGCAGGACCCTATCTATAGTGACCTCCTCAAGAGAGTCAAGGAGGCCCCAGAGACTGAGCCAGATTACCGCACTACAGAGGGTCTACTATTCGAGAAGACTAATGTATTCGACCGCCTGTGCGTTCCCAACAATGAAGAGATCCGTAGTTTGATCCTAGGGGAATGCCACGATACTGAGGGACATTTCGGTTGGCAGAAGACGCTAGCCAATCTGATGCGTGCGTATACCTGGCCAGGAATGAAAGCTGACTGCATAGAGTATGTCCGCAGTTGCAAAGTCTGTCAGAGGAACAAGACCACTACCCGTGCCCCTCTTGGTCTTCTCAGACCCTTGCCTATCCCAGACCAACCTGGAGATTTGATCTCCATTGACTTTATGGATGCCGGTGTCAAGAGTCGACATGGCCAGAGCCAAGTCATGGTCGTAGTTGACCGCTTCAGCAAGTATGCTGTTTTTGTTCCCTTGCCTGCAGAGGCACGTACGGACTTAGTTATCCGAAAGTTCTTTGATTTTTGGGTTAGTGAGAATGGAGTCCCGTTGTCAATAGTTAGCGATAGAGATAGTCGCTTCACCAGCCAGAACTGGCAAGAACTCATGGGAGTTTATGGATCTAAGTTGTTGATGTCGTCTGGCCGCCACCCAGAGACCAACGGTCAGACCGAGCAAATGAACAAGATCCTACAGCAAGTTCTGCGCATGTACATTAGACCCGATCAGATCAACTGGGACGAGATGTTACCTAAGGTAGCTAGTGCGTACAATAACAGCGTGCATCTGTCCACCTGTCGCACTCCCAATGAGCTGCACAAGTCCTTTAGACCGCGCAGACCATTCGAAGGACTGAACCGGGAGCAGATTCACAGACGACCGCCCAGTACCAGGGAGTTCGCGATACAGCACGAGAAAGAGCTAGCAACTGTTGTTAAAAACCTCAGGAAGGCCCAGCACCGGATGATAGAACAGGCCAATAAGCACCGTCGCCCATCGCAGTTTCAGGTAGGCGACCTGGTCTGGGTCAAGGCTAAAGAGTTTGCACCTGAGGAAAACATCTCGCAGAAGTTACTGCCTGCATATAGAGGCCAGTGGCCAGTGCTAGAAGTCGAGGGCGGAGAGGATGGACCGTTCTACAGTATAGAGATTCCAGCACGCCTCCACACCTACCCTGTGTTTCATGCTTCAAAGCTGTTGCCGTGTATCATAAGTCAACAGTTCCCTTCAAGAAGATCCATGATCCCTCCGGATATGGATGGAAGATATGACATTGACGGCATTGTAGATGAAGATGTGTTTAGAACAGGAGGTAGAGGTCGTCCACAGAAACAGTATAAAGTCCGGTTTGCTTACCAGGAACCGGAAGACGACCGCTGGTTTACTATAACAGAACTTCTGGAAACAGCTCCCGACATAGTCAGAGCCTACGAACGTGATAAGAAGGGTAAAGGTCCTGCCTTGGACTGGAATATTCTCGGAGGGCCTTGAATTTAGGACGGCAGGAGTGAAACGGTTTTCACCTCTTTGCAGTAGCAGATGCAGATCCCAAGGCTCGATCCCTAGACCTCACCTTACCCATGTACAATACCTGTGTCGACCCGTAGAGTTGAACCCACGACCTGTGCATTCGTAAACAGTTGGTAGGCTGTCATAGTCCGTAGGTGGTAGGGGTTCGATCTGTAGATCTGTCGAATAGAAGTCTTAGTGAAGTCTAGAAGTCCTAKCTGTAGCCTTCTAGAAGGTCAGCAAGTGGGCAAGTGGTCAAGTGGTGAGTCAAGTGGTGGACTAAACCACAGTGCGATTGCAGTACGACTCCGGGGGGATAGCGGTGAGTCCCCGTTCAGTCAGCGGTCAGGTCCAGTCAGTCCCAGTCCGGTCCAGCAAGTACCACGAGGGACTGTGAGCACCATGGGCCGATGGCAAAGGGCAGACCAACGAGTTTCAGAAGTATAAATCAAGAGGCAGCGCCCAGCCAGTCATTCATTCCTGTGTGAGCCATGCGGAAGCGCTGCCACAAGCGACTTTTGCAAGGAGGTCTGCAGTGAGCCCGGAGCTGAAGTGGGCAAGAGAGAAGGAGTGTAGCATAGCGATAGGGTAGTTGCGGCCATAGCCGCCATAGCTAGACTTAGTGTGTAGTGTGTGTGTGTGTGTGTGAGTGCAGAGTATCGCGTGTGGGATATCCAGGGTGATCCGCTGTATGCGAACAGAGAGTTGTTTGGGCGCTAAGCCGCCATAGCCATTGGAAACGAAGTCTTATCTGAGTTGCCATATCTCTGAGTTCTGTGTGGGCGCTTGTCGCCAGTTTGCTGTGCGCCTGTTGCATGCATGTGAGTGTGAATGAAAACGAGTCTGATTGCACAGGTAAGTATCCACGATCTCTGTCCACAGTCCTGATCTCCTCCCGAGTGACGGTGAATAAGAACAGCACTGTCGGTCACGTGGCCCAGCCACGTCAGCAGATATAACAGGTGGCAGCGGCCACGTCAGCAGCAACGCGTGGCAGCTGCCACGTCAGCATGCCAAGAAGACAGGTGCAAGCCAGCCACCATGCCGGACCAGCAGAGCGTCGCCGTAGACACAATGCCGGCACAAAGCCAGCGCTCAACCAGCATCACAACGTCGAGCCAGAGTCGTCGTCTACGCGTGAAGTCAGCATCGACGTAAGACTAAATGAATGTCAAAGCCAGGAAGTCAGCGCTTATGTAGCGTTGACATCGGGTCTGGACCCCGGATGCTGCATCCCTCAACCATCCAGATCTCAATGCAAACGAGGGCCCAGATTGGTCTGAAACCGAATTCCCTCTGGCCTGGATGCTGCCTGGGTAACTGCGCACAACAAGTGAGTGTATCCAACCAAGGGCCTGGGTGCGGTACCTCTGACTCTACAGTTGACTTTGACCCTTGAGTTTCCTGTGTGCAGTGTTCGGTCACACAGCCATACGCGACAGACTCAGGCCTGGGCATGTCTTGGTCACACAGCCCAGCGCAGACCAACTCAGGTCTGTGTTGCCTGGGGCTGAGTTCTGGGGCCCCAGGCTACTTCTGAACGGGGTTACTACATAATAGCCAGTTTTGACAGAGTATTCCAAACAGGGAGTAATCTTTCTTTGGCTCTTCTCCCACTATTACGCAACCGGATCCAAAGCCAAGTCTGAAAGAGGGCAGTTAGACTCGAACACCTGTTCCCGTCCCGGCATATCTACAGTTCTGACAAGAGAGGTAGCTGAGATGCGCGCCAGTCCCACAGAGTGTTCCCAACATGCCAACATGGAGTAATCTTTCTTCTGCCCTTCTGCCATTACCACTCAGCCGGATCGAAAGCCAAGTCCGAAAGAGGGCTGTTGGATTCAGAAACCTGTTCCTCCTGTGGCCTACTTAACTGTCCTGACAAGAAACGTATCTGAGATGCATGTCAGTCCCTTGGAATGCTCCTCGCACTTCACAACCTGTGACCATACACACCCACGTCCATGAGCCTGTAGGGCCGATACTATACTTCATCTCTCCTGATCCAGGCGACCCGCCTACCCCTGCTCCCCGCTCCCCGCTCCCCGCTCCCTTGATGCATCTGCCTCCCCTTCTGCCAAGTCTTCACCCACACGAGAAGGACAAGCGACGCGTGGTAGAGCAGGCCGTCTCCCACACTTCTCCCCTACCTAACCACCCCCTTTAAGTATTCTGGAGCAATGCCACTTTGTTGCCAACTGGCTACAAATATCCTTGAGTCGTAAAACCCCATTTTCAACACACATGGTCCAGGCGAGGAAGTGAATGAGAGAATACAGACCTGTTTGTCACCGATGACCCGGTTACCAAACAGTCGATGCCACATGACCTCCTCCCATCTGCTGGATCAGGTCCTGATCGGCGATGGGAATTCCTTCCAAGTGGGAACTTTTTTTTTATATAAAAAAATATCCACTATTCATGGGGAGCAGCACGTGCTGAGAAGCGGGCCCAGCGTCCCTTATAATGAGATTACTTGAAGTATCTTACCAGATGTCGAAATACAAAGTAACTCAACTCTGAACGAAGTCCCCAATAATCATGAATGTGATCTCTGATACAGTGTCTCGTTTCCAGTAGATGAAGAGAGTGGAGGGGGAGTAGACAGAGTAGAAGGTGGAAGAGGAAGTAATAATCAATGACCACACAGAGAGTGGCCCAACATTCCCCACTCCTTCTCCGGGCTTCCCTCGCCTTCACGTCAGCAAACAGTATCCAGTAACGAGCCTGACAATCCTTATCACATCGAAGTGCCACGTGGCACAGTTCTCTCGTGAAGACGTTGGAGACAATCAACAGCATACAGTATCGACATCAACCTCAGGTAAGTATCCCGATCCTCCTCAATCATCCACAGATCCCGATCTCCCTCCTTGTCGTGTCCAGTCACCCAATGTAGACAGCGTGGCCAATGCCACATCAGCGATGAAGACAGGTGACATGCGCCACATCAGCAGCGGCTGGCGCTCAGCAGAGAAGGCGCCGGCATGCTGCCTCAGTCCTGCGTCGTCGTCCACAGTGCCAGCACACAGCCAGCGTCAAGCCAACATCAAGCCAGCTTCCAGTCAGCATCAAGCCAGCGTCCAGCTAGCATCAAGCCAGCATCAAGGCAGCATAGCAAGACTGAATGTTGACCCCCTGGAGGCAGGGTCTTATGTCCTCAGGTCTTCCACCCACGGTGGCCCAGATTGACTCACAGCCGAGGGCCTGGATTGCATACAGTTGCAGACTTTCATTTGGTCCTGATGCTGTCTTGGTACCTGCAGACAAACAAGTGTGTGTGTCTGACCGGCGGCCTGGGCTGGGTACATACAGACGTTGACTCTTGGCCCGCTGGGCAGTTGATCAAATTCAACTGTCAGGCGCACAGGCCCTGGGTCAACAATGGAATTTCTCCCCCTGGCCTTTGCGGCCTCAGACCGGGGTCGCGGCCTGCGTGTGGCCTGAGGGCCACTTCAGGGCATATCAGGCGGGGTATTGCAGAGTATTTGATGAAGTCATTGCCCAACTTCGGGTAAGAACTAATTCGAAGTATTCATGAACGAAATCCAAACCCTACATCTACCCATTTCCTCATTTCAAGTGTCGCTATCGACTTAACCGGCTTGAAATTAGCTGTGCTCTCTACACTTCTAGGCCTAAATCTGGTCTCACGCCTCCACCATGCTGGACTACAGGGTAGCATGACCCGCCCCAGCTCCGACCATCGTTGTCCTGAAAGCAGCCCCCAGTCAGCCACTGGATTGCCTTCCACCCTCAACAAATCCCCAGATCTCTATACAAGGCCTCGCGCTCCTGCCTAAACAGGTGCCAGGGCAGAAACCCCAGCTCCGGTCAACGTCGTTCTGGCATCGGCTAACCTAGACTACGAAACTACACAGCCATATCCAATGCCGGTTGAGGCAATACTCCACCTGAAACTGCAGAATCGATTTCTGTAGAATCTGAAGAGTCTATGATTACTGGTGATTACTAATATGATTAGACTACCGATGCACTAATGCTCGCCCTGCATCTTTAAAGACAGCCGCCTGTCTCCCAGTGACGTGCATAGCACATTTACTGTTCTCCTCAGAAAACAAAGTGTGATTGGAGTGCGCACCTATCTGTGTGTATTTTCTTATTACTCCTCATCAGGTTAGTACTTGACCATGCAGATATGTCACCATATGTGCCTTGGATTTCATTTTGTTTTTTAGTTCTTTTGTCATTGAATTTCCCTCTCTTATCAGGTTAATTTTTTTTATTTTATTTTTTCATAATTTGGACCAGATAGTAGTTTTGATTCTGGCTTCGTATCTTTGTAGGAGGCTGGAGCAGCCAGCAGCATTCAGTTTGGCTGGCCATTGGCTGTGAGGCTGCTAGGGTAGCGCCAATGCAGGCATTAGG